CTTTGCCCCGCCCCCACTTTCCTTTTTCGACGAAGTCCCGCCCCCCATTTTCCCGCCGTCCTTTGGTCCCGCCCCTCAGGCCCTCAGGGCGGTTCGAACCGGCACCGAGAGACTCCCCCACGGGTTTTTATTTAAATGAAACTCTTAAATTAAATAAAACTTTTAAACTATTTAAATAAAATTCTTGTGCTTCCCCTCGCCAAACCCGCGGCAAATTCCACAGCGAAGCAGGATTTATTCCAGCGATCCATAAAAAAACGTTTTCGTAACAACAGGACAACAATTTATCTGGAAAAAAAACCCCGGCAGAATAGAAAATAAAGAGTTGAAGCCCAAACCCCCCACTAACAGCGGTGGAATCTTGAAAAATGGAAAAATAAAAATAGAAAATAAAGGGATAAGAATCGGAACTTTTGGTGGCGCGGTCTTCCCGGCGCGGGCAGCGCCTCAGGGAAAGACGGAGGAAAAATGGGCCAAAAAAACGTAAAATCGATAAAAAAGAATAATTAGGAGGTAAACTTCTCAGAAAAGGTTTTGTGGTTTTTCATTTTAATGTATATTCTGATTTAGGTAACGTTAAAGAGGAGGCAAAACACGTGGGGAGGGTCCAAATCCTGGTGGAACTCTGAGGCTAAATTCGCCTCGAATTCCGAAAAAAAACCTCCAAAAAATCTTAAAAAAACCCCAAAATACTAACTGAAAATGCAAATATAGTTCTTTGAAGCGGAAAACTAATTTTAAAAATGGAAATTAAAGATCTAAAACTGTAGTTTTACAACGCCGAAATCCGCGGGGCGCCGTTTCCGGCAAGCTGCTCCTTCCTGAGGGGAAAAAACTTTCCAAAAAGGGTAAAAAAGGCAAGAAATCCTACCAAAAGTTACAAACCGATAAAAAACGTTAAATCGGCTAAAAATATGTATTAAAACATAAGGAATTACTTTCAAACTGACCTTCAGGAGAGGATGGGGAGACAAGTGGTGGGGAGGGCAAATCGTGAGGGAAAATGAGGTCAAGAATTTTCAGGTTAAGCAAATACGATTAAAAAAAAAAAAACAACAACAAAAAAAAAAAAAAAACCAAAAAAAAACCCAGCAGAAAAGGGAGGAAAGAATACAGCAGAGATCCTCCTGAAGCAGATTCCCGCCGGCGGCTCCGCCTGAGGGAAGAGAAACCGAGTCAGACCGGGACCGAACCGAGACCGCAGGAGCCCTCCCGGGAACGTCCCCGGCCCGGCCCGGAGTCCCCGCGGCCCCTCTCGGAGCATTTGTGCGACCCCCCAAAATCCGGTGGAGCCCCGAAGCCTCCTCTGCTCCGTCGGGTGAAGAAGGAGCCGCCGCTGCTCTGCGACACCGCTAAAACCCCGAGCGCCCGCGGCTGGCGGCGACGGGGGGAACGCGGGTCGGGATCGCGAGCGGGAGCCATGTCGCGACACAGCCACACACACACTCACGCACACACGCGAACGCACACAGCCTCCTTCCCCCACAGCCGCCATTTCCCCCCCGCTACCTCTCCCCTGCGATCCGATCCGTTCGCCGGCCCCTCACAGACT